ATACAGATTCAGTGTCCAGTGATTCCAAGCGCCAAGAAGCAGACTCCAAATGGCATGAACACTTGGAAGGACTAAGAACATCTTGAAACGTGTTCCATTTTCCAGCCCGTTGCAGGCTGTACCTTTTATTGCCATTAACGAATGTTTGATACAAAAAACTTTCCCCAATTTATATTTTGGATAAAGTATCCCAAGCTGTAGTTCAGATGAATCTCTGCAAAAGCAGGTTTATCCCAAACACAAAGGACTATGGGAAACACCAGCAATAGCACCAGACTATCTTTCTTCGCGTGCTCCAGCCTGGCTACCCGAGGGCAAGCTCTGACACAAAAAGCACACAATGTTGTCGGCACGGTACCACACTGCCACCAGGACCATCGGTACTAGCTTGAGCACTGTCCTGCATTAAAAGAATTACGGAACATCTGGATGGGAACTGGTTCACAACCACCTGGTTAAGGAGCAACAGGGGAACAAATGCAAGCCTGCTTCTAAAAGCCTGTATAGACATCCCAACAATTTAATATTAAAAATAACCAAATAAAAGGAGAACAAATCCCCATTTCACCAGTCACCCCAAATCATAAGTTTCACGGATACTAAAACAAAAATAACGTTGCATAATGAGTATTTACTTCATCAACAGCTTTAAAGCTATTTATGCTTTGCTTGGTAAATTCAATACACAGGAAATTACTATGTTGTTATGTCCTAAAATACACCCAATTGGGCAATTGTCCTAATCCATTGCACAAAGCCTTGTAAAGATCTGTCTGTTGACATGCCTTCATTTAAGAAAAAAAAGTCAGCCCTATTGTCCCAACAGAAGCCTTTGTGGCTTACAGTTGCACTGCTGTATGTGACAAGGCCAGGAGAAAACTCAGACAATGAGCTGCTGATCGTCCACAGTGCTTTAATTGTTAGCAGGCTCATAGCACAGTCCTGGCCTGTCCAACAAGCTGTTTTCAAGACAAAGCCCTGGCAGAGTTGCAAGGTAGAACATGTCAGGGTTCCCAGTAGGCACCATGAACAAGATTACACAGGTTTGGCTCCTTCTCCGTGCACAGTCCTCCAACATTATCCAGGCAAGCTATGTACTTTCAACAAGTCTACATGGCGTCACGCCACACCACGAGACGTGACCATCTACGGTTGGTATCACGCAGACACCAGCATGGTGGACTGTACCACAGCACTTGGAACTTATTTCAGACACTGTGAACTAGAAAAACACACACATAAAATAAGAACACTTAAGAATCACAGTGGAACTACAGCACACCCAGAGAAGGTCAACAGCCAAACAACATGAAGCATAGGCAACTAGGTGGTGCTACATAGCATGAGCCAGAGAACAGTCCTTGGCATGCTTTTATTTAGCAGTAGATAGCTTTTTTTGCCATCTAATTTTTCCAGTGACTGCAAATTACTCCAGTGACTTCCACAAGAGAAGCAGCAAGTACTGTGCTTCCTTGCATCTGCTGACACAAATGACTTCAGTGATGTCTTTAGAGACACACCAAGATGTTTAAAACGATCTGTTATCATCAGCTTAAAAATGTCAATGGTAAAACACTCTCTTCAATAATTACTGTTGCAGCCTTTATCCCACCCTACTTTTCAGCACCCCTTTTACACCAGAAGGTGTTAAGATGCTTTCTGAAAAGATCAAACTAAGTAAGCAGTGAACTCCCCTCCTCATCTCTTCTGCATGCTGATTCCTCAAGTTCAATACTGGAGCACGATGCTTTGGTGATCAACGATTTTCTCTGTAACTATGGGTAAGAATTTTAGAAAGGCTTTTCTTGGGAAGTGCAAAGGCAACTTGCATCACTTTGATGTAATTTTTATCATGAACCAGTATCCTTGAAGTTAATTTTCCATAACATTTCCACAGAAATCCTCTACTGTGGTATGAATTTCAATGTTTTCTGAGACATCAAACGGACATGGCTGGTTTATCGGCATTGCGTATTTCAAAGAGCACGTGACTGTATTTTGGAGTGAAATAGTGTATGTGTGAAATTCCAGCAACTTCTATTCTTCATGCAGCCTCTGACTCATCTTCACACAGACTGCTAAACCATGTCTTCTGACATCACAAGGTGCAGTATAATGGACTCTGAACTGCTCTTGTAAAGTACTTTTAAAAAGGAGAAGGATGTTTTTTATTCAGTGAATCTTCACACACAACAGAACTAAGTTCTTTCCTCAAGAGTAAACGGCAAAATATAAAACTTCAAGTTCAGGAATAACAACATATTCCAGCCCTCAAAACCCGTCCTTTGCTCAAGAGCAAATTTCTAAAAATTGTTTCTGTAAAAGCGAATCACGAGTTGTGTGCTGTATGTCCCACTACACATTTCCTGCAAATCAAATCGTCACAACACCAGTAAGAAGCTTGCAAACCTTCATGGGCTTCAAGCTGCAACAAGAGATTAAAAAAATCAGCCAGGCTGCAGCTACTACTGTGCATGTGTGCCCAGAAGCCACGTGATTCACCAACAAGGGGTTTTGGACAGACACACACCACCACTCAGAAGCAAGGCATCTTATTTAAGCTGCTAACTTTTTTCCAAGCATTTCAGACAGCAGGTTAATTTAAGGTCAAAATCAGACTTGTATCTATTACATGCTTAGAGCTCCAACCATGTACCCAGAGTCCTTGAAACTTTTAGTTGTACTGGTTATACTGCTCACACTATGAAGCAGCTCAGTATTCTTCCTTTTATGGCTTAGTCATGTCCTAACACTTGATAAATTTTGTTCTTAATTCTTTCCAAGAAAGTTCTCAAATGTGATCACAGGCAAATAGAGACTTGTGCTTATCCTACCAGTTGGAGTTTTTTTCCCAGAACATTAGGAGGCTGCAGATGCACAACTACTTAGTGGTTTGGGAAAAAAAAAAGGGTGTTCTCTGCTTCTGGATTTTTCACACTAAGCATGTAAGTCTAGTCCCTTACATATTTTCAGTAAGCTCCAAAAATGCCTCCACCACCCTTTGGGCCAAACATTACCTTCATGTCAGTCTCTCTTGGAATGTGATCTTTAAAGTCCTCGATGGAACTTACAAGGAAAGGAATGTGGTACGATAAGACCTAAGAGAGACAAACATACAAAATGAGAAAAAATACTTCCCATTTTAATGATTAATTAGACACTACTATTATTTTACTGGAATTATTTTTTTTAAAACAAATTTTTATTTTATGCATATGAACTTGTTTGTAGATCTAACACATTAAAGCCTAATAAACGTAAAATAAAGCTGTTTGCAAACAAAGTGAAATGAAAGCTTTTAAAATGCACTAAACACAGAAAACATTGAGAGGCATGCTCAAACTAAAACATATATGTTTTAATGTAACATTTCTCTGAACTTTACCCAAAAAGTAGATTCCCCCACCACCAGCTTGCAATTCAAAGTTCAGTTATGACTGTGCATTGACATTTTACCTTCATGCCAACCGTTTAAGAAGCAGCATTCCTAAGTAGTGAAGCTTTAAACACCCTACCATTCCATTAAATTAAACACAAACAAAAGTTATTTGGAACATATTCAGTTATTTCTTACATCTCTAAGTGCTTCCTGTGCCAACGACCGAAAAGACAAGATAACACCAATAATTGTCATTCTCTTCAAAACACTGTCAACAGCTGAGGAGAAAGAAAACATTTAACAAAATACTGAAAAACTGCAAGGTACTGAAACAACAGCATTCCTTAAAAAAGCCAAAATAAACACAGCTTAAGCAGGTTTTTATAGCTGAGTCGACAATGGGATTTTCAGTATAAGACAATCCTGTTAACTACTTCATGGAATGAACCCTGTTACACACAGCTGACAATACTGGATGCTAACACTAGTTCTGTGTTTTCTGGAGACCAAAAACGTTTCTTTAAAATAATTATTTTTGTTTAAAATAATTACTTACGTTAATTAGATGTAAAAATTTACACTGTGATGGAATCAAATCAGAAACATGCACCAAAAAAGCCTGTATTCTCAGCTATGCACCCGGTTTCAGATTAGCTATGTGCTATCATCCCTGAAAAGATGCTCAAAGCTCATCACTACTATAGTGCCTATGCAATACTGACACTGAAATCTCATTTTGTCTGTACATGAGAAGACTGGAAAATTTTGAAAAGACCCATCAGTTTGTAGGAGCTCACATATATTTCGCTGCTTCTGGATACTTAATACGGGAAAATTAGTTTCTCTCATTTTCTTTACAAAGACAAAGATAAAAAGCCATTCTATATCTTTAGTAGGACCTTGCTAGTTACCCACATGATAATCTCTTAAAGAGCGCTGCCATCTGGTCCGGCTTGTCGAAGCTGGTCCTCATCTGGGTCAGGACTTCAACGTTCTCCACCACAAGTTTCTAAAAAGAAGGAAGGATTCAGGTCAGCTATAGATTTCGGCATGTTAACAAGCTAAATGCATCACAGGATATTTCAGTCTGGCAGAGAGGCAACTAAACTCATGGAATACAGATGTTCCCACTGTGTTCTTCACGGGACTGCGGTATCAGTGGTATTGCCAGGCCCTACTCTGCCCAAAACCAATAAGCTCTGAATCGAAAAGCAGACGATTAGATACCCCTTGGAACACAATTTTTATATTCAACAACGTGTGCAACTTCTTAAAACAAGGGAATGACACTCAGTAAAACCAAACAATAGCTTCTCATGCTATTCCATTCTTTTATAAGAAAGGCATACCCATACAAATAAAAATGCAGATTCACAAAGGAATCCATTATTTTGGGTTGCTCCTTTCACTAGCTATGCTGTAAGGATCAGAAATTTAACGTTGGTAAAACTGAAAAATGGAATGAGGAGTGTAAGAGTCAGATTGTTAAACCTAGATGCAGTTTACTTGAAATTTTCTTCCATTTTAATATAAAATAAAACCAAAGACTTTCATTCAAGTCCCAACACCTTAGCCGGAAACAGTTAAACTGAAGTTCAGTATTTTTCCTATCAGTTTGACAAAAAGAATAGAAAACGTGTGTCTGTTTCTGATTTGTAACAGCCCTCACACATGCAACTTGTAGCATTAGGGTAAATGTAGTAACGTTCCCGCAATCATTCTCCAAGTATGTATCAGATGTAAAATTACAGAGATTGCATAATCACATCTATGAAATGTCACATCCAAAAAGGGTTTCTTGCTAGCTGAGGAACTTACGTTGTGCCAAGTAGTATTTTTAAACTCTCTTCAAGCAAGAAATATGTACTTTATTCTTACAAAAAATATTTTTGCAGTTTGAATGCAGAGTACCCTATTTCAGAAATGGAAAGTACGATTATTTCTCTTCAGGTAGAGGACAACCAGCAGCCAAGAAAATTTAGGTATCTTGTGTGCTTCTGAACATTACATGAAGAAAATGTTTTCCCTCTTCTAAAGAAGATTTAATTTAGTGCTTTGTATACTAAACAACATCAAGGTAGAAAAGAACTAGAAAGCGGAGAAAGAAAACAAGATATTCTGGATTGGGGTGGTCTTCCAAAGTGATTAATAGTTTTATTTTTCCAATGGATGCATCCCAATCCACCTTAATTACTAAGCAGCACAAAGAAAAGGGTAAATGAGAGGGGAGCAGGAAGAACTATTATTCATCAAACATGTAGGCCATTATAAGCCTGGAATGTAATCTAAGATGTACCATAAAACCTAAGAGGAGACATATCTGCAGGAACCTACTGCTAAGGATCCAAGAGCATTTGACCTTGGACAGTTCTGCTAACTGCTTTAACAGTTTTATTTTACTTCGCTTCAATCCAGGCTGAAAACAGGGCAAAGTATAGCAACTGACAAGCAGGGAAATTAAATTTCCGAGTAAACACTCCTGTGACCACAGAAGGGGAAAAAACCTACACAACTTAAACGATAACGCTGCTATGAAATAAGTGGGGATCTGTGGTTACTCCCACCTCCTAGTCAAGTAGCCTGAAAGCAGATGTGTCCAGCTGCTTAGACCTCTCAGATTCAATTACGTTGTGTCACGGTCATGCTATTTCCATACTCAAGTCTATCCATAATCCACCCAGTCTTCCCACTTCCATTATTCTCACCTTCAGTGAGAGGCAAGGAAAGAAATAAGCTGCACAAGCTGCAGCAAACTCACCAGCTCCAAGAATGCATGCAACACAAACGCGCAAGATTTGCTTTGGCTTGCAGCACAGAAGCATGACTGGTTTGCACCGAAAACAAGATGGGCAATTCTAAACCAACCCATGTACCAGACCTTGGCAGATGCGTGACATTTTCATCTAAATCCCTCAAAGCTCTCCAGAATGCAAGACCGAAGGCAATGGCCCACGCGCATCGTTACTGAGTGGAGCTTTCAGCGTTACAAAGAAGGACCAGCATGTTAGTTTCAGACTGAAAAGGAACAGGCTGGAATACAGTTCCAATAGTAACTGAAACGAGGCAAACGTCCCCTCCTCACCCCAGTCTTAAACTTCAGATACGAAACCAACACCTGGTCCCACTGCGGGCAGCAAAGCAAGCGTGTTGAACCCTACTCTTAATAAATTCCCCATTCTCTCCCTCTTGTTGCTTCCTTCCCCCAAACACAGATGTTTCTCAGCGCTCTCTTGCTAAGCCAACTGCATCTCAGCCAAAGAGATGAACATTTTATTACTTTTTTTCCTCCAAATATGTCATCACATGCATGTGGATCTACACTATGTTCTGCTTATCCTTAGCAATATCAGAAAACAACAGCTCTCAGAGACAATTTAAAGTTTCTTTTTTAAAAAAATACACAGAGCTACAGTATCAATCGTGCTGACTTTGAGGAAGTACGACAATTGCACAGCAAGTGGACAATGACAGCAGTGACCAACAAATTTCTGCCCCATGGCTTTGTGTTTTATTGAAACGTGACAGATGTCACTTTGTGTATAATCAGGAGTCACAGAAGTTAACCTTAAAATCATAGTGTTCTTACCTGGAAAGTCTCATCCTAGAACTCAAAAATTGGAATGGGCAAAAGGAATCAACGACCCTGTCTGGGTGGTCTGCTGCATGCTCTTGGGGCAGATGGGAAGGCAGGAGCAGCCCTGCTCCTTCAGCTTCATGTTGAATACAAGGCTTCAAATCTTTTAGGGCACCATGCATCCTAGCAACTCAGCAGCACCGAAATTCACAATGTTTAAAGGGAGACCAAGATCTTCAAAATTGTAACATGGGATATACTAAAACCACACTTTTAAAGGCCTGGTATGCTAATAATAATAAATTGTTGTTGAAGAAAAAAAAAAAGTAAGTTCCTTAGATCTCAAGTATTTGTGTGCATTTCTAAAAACACAGCATGCATGAATAGTTACCCAAAAAATCCTTATTTAATTAGTGGTTAAATAAACTGAAGATGATGAGATGTAATAACAACTTGGAATTAAATTTGGAAATGACATTAAAAGAGTAAGTCATACGAAAAGCAAATATATGCCAATTAGTGGCATTTTAATAGTGTGACTATCCTGGGAAAGTAGTACACGTTATTAAATTTATTAAAACCTCTTTCCAGAGAAAGACTTAATTACATAGGCACCAAGTGTTTCCCTTGTCATGGTTCGTTGCTTTGAATACACATGTAAATAGCTTCCTTGACATGCCCATATTTCCAATTTTTTTTTTCATGGCATCAACTTTATTGGTTGTTTGTGTTACTGTAGGTAGCAGGTTTATTTCTCAGAATACAGACATTTATAATACACGGATCCTGTTCCACTAGAGGGAACAGCATATGTCTAAAACTGAGGAAACTAGCAAAGAAGAGAGACCTGAAGGCTCCGACCCATGTAAACTCACCAATGATGCTAACACACATGGTAAGCTCAGAAAGTCCTTACAGATGACTGAGAAACATTTCAGATTTTCACGCTAAGTTTTGAGAGTCAACAGACTTGGGTAAGAGCTTTGCAAGCGGCTGGAGATCTTGAAAAACATTTTTCTTCCCATTGATGATAAAAAGAGACTGGACTCCTAACTTAGAGTATCTAACACAGAAATCAGAGTCTGCATAAAGTCCTGCCCATTCAGCTGCAGAAAAATGTGGGATGCACACGTACTACATGTGCAAACGTACTACAGAATGAGAGTAAAATTCACAGCTTTATCAGTTTGTTTGAAGCAGTCTTTTCAGAAAGATGGCAGGCAGAAACACAGCTATTAAATGTCCAAAAGTAAACTTAAACAGAAAACTCCCAGCCTTCCCACCCACCAGTTTCCCAAGGTTACCTTAAGCTCAGCAACCTGTGAAGAAATGTGCCACATCAGACTTTCACTTAGGAACTTCATGCCGTATGGTCCCAGAAGTTCGGAAAGGGCTCTCATTTCTGAGAAATAAAACAAACTGTTCTACTTCAAACATTCCTTCTTCAGTTATTTGATGCTCATCACGTATCTATCGCAAAACATTTCACCGCAAAATAGAATTTTAGATCCAAGAACTTGTATCATAACAGAACTGAAGCAGCAGTCACCAACACATCATGCTCCTGTGTCTGTGGCCGAAATGCAATAACCCTGCTCTGACTGAAATTAGGAAACGTGTACTTAAATACTTAAGTACTTAAAATACTACTAAAGTTTCACAAATGCTGTCTGTAACAGAGTTGCTGTTATTCTAATTACTCAAGCATGCGATAACTATCCCATACAAATATTTGGTAGAAACATCCGAGTTTACCTGATATGTCGGAGTATTCCTCAGCGTTAAACGTCAGTTCATTTTCGGTAGGCAAATTCACAAATGCCTTCATGGCTGGAAAATAGGCTATGTGACCGTTGCTGACTTGCCGTAGCAAAGTTTCCAAATACCTTATGAGGAAAGGGGAAAAGTTTTAGATGAAAAAAGACATAAGATACTCTATACAGATGAAGTATACTTGTGTGACGAGGGACAGCAAAGCCTATAGACTAAAGTTGTACTTTCATAGTTCAACTGGTATCTGCATCTTACTCTACATCTCCCCCCTATAAAAAGTGAATTTCAAAACAGGCAAACCTTACAGTGCTTTTAAAAGGTGTTGAGAGAAATAAACTTGTGAAGTCAGAAACTTAAGAAAATTGCAAACAACTCCACTTTTCCAAGTCCAGATTTCTAATTACATAGAAATAATATTTAAAAACTTGTCACAAGCGTTCATACAATTACTTACCAATTTGTGTACAGACTGGTAATGGTTGGCTCACCATGACTATCTAAATGCTGGGTTTGCTGAAGCAGAACATTGTTAAATACTCGTGTAATGTCGATCTGTACATAATTTTCTATTGACTGGAGGACTGTCATATAGGCTCTTACACTGGTTAACAGCTCTGAAGGCTTTGCAATCTCTTGCGTTGCTTGATTATACATAGTCATTCCAACAATAGACCTTTTAGAAACAAAAAAAAAGGGGGAACAAATAAATTGCATTTAGTAGTGAAATTAAACAAAGATGCAGCTATAAAAATGATTTTATATTCAAAGCTTTTATCCGAGTACTTCTCCAATCTGTAAGTACAAAACTTTAATCAATGCACATGCTACACCAGCGCTTTTAAAAATAGTTCTAGGTGCCAAAGACAACTGTATTCATAGTTCCAGCAAAAATTTCATTAGACTGTAAGAATATCACAGAGTATTTTTTAAATAAAGCTTCTCCTGCCCTTCATATATAAGGGCAATCCACAATGGGAAGACTGATATTACAACTACTTTGGTAAATAAATTACTGTTGAAGTCTTTTAAAATGCAAAACTTCTGGGAGACGCAAGAGCAATGATGTATTAGAGTGCTGAAGCATATTAACTAAGGCAAAGAGTCTTTGACCAAAGTTACTGTCATAGTTGTAGTTTGAAATATCTCTAAAAAAATAATAGAGCTATAATTATGAATTCAAAATGTTCAAAGCAAAACTTCTGTCTTGTGTTGCTTTGCCTAAGAATTTAAAGGCACGTCTGATTATCTTGCAACATTAACTATGCCTCCTGTATTTAAATGCATAGATTTCCTAAGACACAGACCACACCATTTCATCTTTCTTCTTTCTGCCTCAGCTCACACAGTATTAAAAAAAATAAACTCTCAAAGTTATCTTGAAAGACAGCAAACAAAAAAACTCGTAACACTGCAACACTAACGTTTTCTTTAAAGGTAAACTGTAAATCTCTGGGAGAAATGTCACTTAAAGATCTGAAAAATAACGATAAACTGAAGATTCATTCTGTTTGGCCAACGAGCCTAATTTCTGTCACGAGGCAAGAAAACGGAAAGCAGCTCTGAAAATCACCTGCCTGTGGCTTCGGTTCCAATCCACATGCCAGCCCCCTGGCAAAATTAAAAAAATAAGCACAAGTGATCAACACTGGTCTAGGTTCATAAACCTGAAGAATTACAGCTGACTTCTTATAAAGTCATGAAGTTATCTTCACTTTCTTGCCACCTTGTCTTACTCGAAAGATGGAGTGCTCTAGTGGCCTAGTATTATGTCTTGATGACTGAAACTTAAGTATTTGTACCCTGCTTGAAATACATAACTAGCAATCCTTGGCATAAAACACAACTGGGACAGCTGGCTGGCTTAATATGAAGTCCTCTCCAGAAGCTGCCGTTTGCCTGTTACTGTGATTAACGACAGGAAGATCAAGGTGAGAACAGACAGGAATATCAAGAGGCAACACTTTTTATTTTAAGAAAAAAAGGTAATTAAAATATCTTCCCGGTTAGCTTTGCCAGGTCTTGAGTTCTGGTTTTAAGATTTCCCTTCAGCACACCAGTAAACTCAAACACTTGAAGCAATCCAGCACTGTGCAAAAGAACGCTGGGAAGACAGTCTTTATAAATGCCTAAGAATAAGCCTCACCAACTCCTGCAAAACACACAGGACTAGGAATGCAGGATCAGGCTGTTGAACAGGTGATATTTATTTCAATATATTCCATTTTAAAACAGGAACTAACAATTGTGTATGTCTGCATATATAACCTCATTGTCATTTTAGTCATAATTTGACTTAAGAGTTTCGGAATCCACCTTTAAAAAATACTTTTATGTACTAAGTATACAATAATTCCAACATCAAATCAACAAGAGCCTTATTTTGTATTTGAGCACTTCTAACTTTGCAATATTTCTTACTTGGTAAAGCGGATTTCCAGGTGAGACGTTAGGTATTCTCTTGGGGTAAACGTGTGTTCCCAAACCACCATGTTCGGTACGTAATTGATGGAGAAGCAGAGCTCGGAAAGTGCAGTGTGCAGTTTGTCCAGGCTTTGGGAACAGGCAACAAGGAATTAAGACAAATATTTAATGAAACATAAGCATGTATTGTCACGGAAAGCACACGCTGGACGAAACACGTCTCAAGAGCAAGTGAAGTTCTAAGTCTTCCTTTCATTATCTTTTTCTGCTTTGAGACACTTTTCTAGCTCACTTAAAAATGAGTATTTTGGGTAAGAACACATCCTACAACTGCATGCTGATCTGCATCAGAGTGATGTGAGAGGTATTTTTACATATATACATATAAAAATATGTATATTTTTGCCCTCTCAAAGAACAGCCTGTTACGGTGTTTTTTTTCTAACCGAACTAAGCAATACAAGTAATGTTGGCTACTAGTCAGTACTAAAAACCTAAAAACATTGAGGGAGGGAATCCTAAGCCACAAGTGAGTTCTTCTCCCTCAACTTCTCTAATCTTTACAGTTCCCTGATGTTTGGTTGTTGCAACTGTAGCAAAACCACTTCCCTTTCAGCAGTGTGTGTTTCAGCACTCCCAGCCACAACACTAAACATTTATTGTTTCCTTCTCTTAGCCTCCTTCCTCTTCCTACTTTTCTCACTCTACCATCTTGCCTTCTGATCTCTCCCAACAATTACCTTCTACCTTTTCCTCCCCTATCACCTCTTACGCCCCAAACTATATTTATTAATCTTTCCTCTTGTCTCTTTCAAGTGTTGTTTTTTTTTTTTTGTTATTGATTTGCTGTTTTTTTTTCAGTTTTTCTATAGCCACTACAAGGAAACCTTCCCAGTTGGTACAGGCACTGTAGCCTCAGAACTCCACCCCAGCAGCTGAAGGCAGCAAACAGCCTTTCGGCAGCCAGAACTTCCAGCTCAGCCTGTACTTTACCTGGTTAACAGTATTAAAGCACGGCAGAATTAAAGATGCCATCTATTCTTTGGACTCCCAGTTCCACAACAATTAATGTAACTAGACAGGAAACCCAGCTGCAGCACAGGGATCCTTTCTGCTCCGGAAAGGAAACAGCCGAGGGGATAAATTCCAGGGACACACATTCCTTCTGCTCGACGCGACACGATTCAGTCTCCATACAAGCTACAAGCATCACATGCTCGCAGGCTACAGCGCTGTCGTATTTAGAGTCAATTAAATTTACTCAAACAAATTAAGCAAGAAGCATTCAATATGTAAAACACAGATGTTTTAACTTGGGATTCAAGGTGAAAGGCACAGAACAGGCGGCTTACTTTGTCACAACCAATCTGTTTTTCCTCATGCTTTCTACTCCTGGTTTCTCTCTTTCAGGTTCTCCTTTCTTTCCAGTCTGTTTTTTTGACTTTTTGTTGACTGCTTGACTGATGGTTTTGGCACAATGCTTTGGCAGCAACTAGCAAACGAAAAGAAATAGCCCCTCCAAATTAAAATCCAACTTTTTAGAATCCATGAGATACAAAATAAGCTTATGGTCCAGGTGGAAACTTCATCACACAAGCAATTTACTCTTCCTTGGACTACTAACTACACAATTCTAATATTAAAAAGTCTTTCTCAAATCACCTTCCACTTTGATAGTAACAGTAAGCTTCCCCAAAACCAGCAGGGAGGGGGAGGAGGAAGAATGTGAACAGAAAATAGGACCATTAAAAAAAAAAAAATATCAGGAAGTTGAACGGAGAAAAATCTCAAAGGAGAATTTAAACAGACACGATCACACTCACCTGATCACTCAGCGTACACTGTTCTGTGCAAATGTCTGTGATAAGATTTCGAGCTTGCTTAGCCATTTCATCCAAGAACATGTTACACAAGGAAAGACTACGATCTCCAATATGATGCCGCTGTGAAAGAGCAAAAAAATAAGAGGGAAGTCTTATTTTCAGTTTGCTGTTAGTCCTACAATATTCGGACAGCATACACACACTGTACTGCACTTAATGATTCAATAAATCACAGAACTGAGGTACAGGAAACAGTAAGTTCATTAATCCTTAATAGTCTCAGCTCCAGGATTTTTTTTTTTTGGAAGCAACTTGAACCATAAAACATTCAAAGTCAAAACAGCAAATCATCATTAAAAATATCCTGCCTACTATATTTTGCAAAACATTTTCTGAAAAAGGAGGCAAACCAAATTTTAAAAAGCAGGTTTTCATGTTTAGTTTTGGAATACATCTCCTCTAAAGCATGCAATACCCAAGGCTCCTGTGAATCTCCTCTTCATTAATTTGTACCAGTACCAAATCTAAGAGGAAAAGAGGAAGCAACTCGAGCTACAGAGAAAGCACAGTGAAAGTGTGACACTTTCACACCACTGAAAAAGGCAATAGTGAAGCTCTGCTGCATTAATCTCTGAATTCGGTTCCTTCGTCCCTGGATCTGCAGAAGCAGAGCCTTCTGTCCCAGTGAAATCCTCCTTTCACCACTCATCTTCACTAACAGCCACACTAGCACGCATTGTACCCAGTACAGCGAAGGTTATTTTTCCAAAATTCTAACAGTTAACAAGTCATACAATTCGGATCCTGAATCCAAAGTTCTGCTGGCTGTGGCAAAACGTGGCTGGGGGGCAGCTGAATTCACAGTCACTAGTGTACAGTGGGCTTTGGCTACTGATTCCTTGCTGTTACTGTAATTGTTCTGAAAGGCATCTCTTGTCCTGAAGGGAAGCTTTCCTGGAAACTTTTTAGTGGTTGTCTAGTATATATAGTGTTTGCAGCTGTTTAAAGCAAAGCACACGGGGAAAATAACGATATAGATACATCCTGCGATGAAGTTTAGCAGAAGAGGATTTAAAGTTTAAATAAGAAAACCCCACATTGTGCACATTACAATAGATCTTATTCTAACTGTTTCAGATGAGCACTGTTAAGAATGAAAATACAGCTTCATGAGCACTACACAAAATTGGCCAAGTTAACCTCCAGAGTAAATCCAAAATCAACTGGCATATAGGAAACGTACTGAAAGATCTATTTCATTACAACAAAACCAGAATTTCCACAGAATCCAACTACCTCCTTCAACAAAACGTCCATTTCTTCAAGCAACACTTTGTTTTTTCAGGCCTAATTGTAAGCAGAGAGGACTTGCATTACCCGTTTCTGATGAAAACAAACACTGCATTATACTGTATATCACTTAGGATTTCTTTTTTTAATCTTACCAAAGAAGCAGGATTTATAACAAGCCATACAACCCAACTTCCTATTTCTTTTTTCTAACGATGAGCTTATAAACCATTTGAAATAAACACTGTTGCTTGTATATTTTAATAGCTATATAGGATTTATTAGCTAAGCCTGAATGAGCCCAGAAAAGTCACCTAACCTTCGTGCGTACTTTGATATCTCCTTAAAGCAAAGACAATCATGCTTTCTCACTTCAGAAAATGGTTTTGAGATCTACAGGTGAAGAACCACATATGAAGCCATCTACTTGTTTTATTTCCCTTTTTATCACTCTCCTCCCTCCAATCTCACATTGCTCTAACAAACACCTTCTTGCAGTGCTCAGCTCTAGTCCTCTCCATGTGAAACAAGAAATGAAAACACCAAAGACAATATATTTAAAAATTACCTCTTCAGGGCACAGTTCATGGGTGCAGCTCATAAAATGAGTACAAAGCAGTGGGAATGCAATTGAGTATCTTGACTGAGACGGAAGCTCCAAACACTGCTGAAACATCTTCTCAAAAGCACGACTATAAAAACTGATCAGAAACAGACGTTTAAATGGAATACAAACATAATTTTGCTGCAAATAAAGTCTATTTCACACAAATCAAACAAGCTATTAGTGTCAGATTTGTGGTTGTAACTTACATCTCAAATTGCATCATGCTTCCAAAGAAGTTTGTTTTCTGCATTTGCTTCTTACGCATTTTATTTGTATCTCTCTCAATATCATCACCATATTTTTATTCTAATGTTTTGCCACACAGGCACTGCAAAAACTTGCACCTTTTGCAAAAACGTATTAAGGAAGAATCTGCCAATGACTCCAGATCAACGAAGCGACTTCTTGAAGAACCTCTCCAACAGATCTTCAGAAATACCTTTATCAAACTAATTCAAATGGAAACCAGAAATTCTAATTGATTCTCCCACTGGCCCACCTTCCTACAAAGTTTGCTATTTAAAAATTACATTTGCAAGGACAAACCAAACAAATAACGAAAAGCTTCTACAGTCAGCTTAGTAACATACCAAAATATAGAAAGATCTGAGGTTTCGACCAACATCTCCACCAAAGAATCTACCATTTTTGTGTGGAAAATGATTGTGTTCATCATTTTTCCTAGTTCTCTATGGTCTGCAAGACTGAGCGAAGCTTTAGAAACACTGGTGTACGCCTGGAAAGACACAAGAAAAATTGTATGTTATATCTACAGCTGCTTTTTTGCAAATTCTATTGCCCGATATAAAGGTTGAATATTGATTATGCTAAGCATAGGACATCTGTGTACCTGGACACATGAACACGGATCGACTATTTTACCTTTCCAATATAGCTCAAGGAAAGCAAACTGCCTTGAACTGAAGTCTCCAAATGTCATCTGAATATGACACTGATTCACAGATAAACTGTGGAACAAATGTATTGACAAAACACGCACACTTGTGAGCCCCCACTTCAACAATCAAGTTTTAGAAACTAAGAAAAAGAATGTACATACTGAAAATATAAACCCAACATTTCTGTCTCATCTTGAGACAACTGATTTACGGTCTGAACAGTAAACCCTCCTTTACGAAGTCAATTGAAGATACAATTATTGCAATGCACAGAAGTGATCTCACTGAAATTTTCTCTCTGAACAGTCTCTACCTTCCCTTGGCAGGGGAGGCTGACTGCCAGCCCGTACAGTGCACAGCCAAACTGCTCATCCTCAACACATTCTATTTCCCAACTGTTACGAACACCCCAAAGCACCATGTGCACAACGTATGCAACGCAGACAAAGGCACACCAAAACGCAGCAAATTATCCGCTTGAGTATTTGTTGGATTTTAGGAGTAGGTTATTCTTAGAGAGCCAGTCATCCATTTGCAGTGTGAGCACAATCTAGAACAGCAGTACTTTATTAAACATTTTGGGTTTAACTTACTAAAGCATCACGCATGTTTACAAAGCCTTACCTGCAATCTAAACCAATCTAATCTCATTCCTCGGAAGTCAAACACCTCTCCATCTTCAACTGCATGAGGGAAAGAGACAGAACATAAAACCTTTAGGAAAACAGCTAGAAATTCAAATATACTATATATCAGACCTTCTACAAAACCCCCAAAGTACTCAAGAATTACTCAGGTACTGAAACTCATGCTTTTATCTAAGAATTTCAATCCAGCACAGCCAAGCTAATAGGAATTAAAATATCTAGATGAAAACATGCGTAACATGCTTTCTAAATGAAAAGGTAGGACTGCTTCCCAAAAGCATTCTTCAAAAGCTCTACCTGTATAGAGCTGCCTGGGAAAAGGAACACATAAGAAGAAGTAGATACCGTAACGAAAGAGAAATGGGGGAATAAATTCAGTTTATGCAAGTTATCTGCTTCTACTGATTGCACAAAAACAGTGATGAAGCTTTCTAGAGGAATCCACCGTTCTTCCAAGTTCATTTAAACTTACCTTGTTTCACACTTAGTGAAGTCATTGTGTTTACAAAAGAGGACATGATGATTGATTCATCCTCTGGGCACACTGAAAGATTCTAAAATAAATGTTGTTGCTATTATTTCAAACTTGGTTTTTGAAACAACATCAATACCCATGCCCAATTTGTCAGCTGTACTCCGAAACGCACAAACACTTACACAAGGTAACTTAATCAATGGAATATCTCAAATAGTGCTATTTAACAGCTTTCACTTTTTAATTCACTGGTTGACGACAAATAGCTAGAAAAGCTTGCTCCCAAACCAACGTCTGCTCGAAACAGAAAAATCTGTCAGTAAGTGTGCCTACACATTTTCAGGCTGCAGTCACTTACAAAATGGACACCAAACATTTTTCTGACCTTTCCAGACACCTGATTTGTCTGCAGAGAAAATCTGGCCATGGCAGGGTATAATGGGATCCCACATCAGCATCACTTTCCTTCCCACAAAACCCTCTCTCAACAGTTTTTTTTACTGACTTTGACTGCAATGATTGATACCACCTGAAAGATGGACTATTAAGTTTTCAAATTTTACAAAATGCAACAGGTCATGAAAAAGAAGTTTCAGCAACTGATAAAATCACATTTCTATTAAATAATGCAATACAGAAATTTCTCATAATTCCAGCTATGACTGACATTTTAACCTAAAGGCTGAAAATCTCCAAATTATCACTCAAACATTCGTCTAGTCTTGTGCTTGATACCTGTTATGAATTAATTACAACTAAAACTCAAGCCAATACTTTTTTCCTCATTTCAGTTTGATCCTAAGGATTATCCTATCTAAACACAGAACACTTGTGTCACTCGTACAGTATTTAGAAGTCATTCGCTAAATCTAGGAAATAATTTCCCAGGAATCAATGACAAATGTCAAAAATATTTAATTCTGTCACACCAAAAAAATCTGTTAACTTGTAAGTGTATAGAGTTATAAACTAAAAAGCCCCAAACACAGTTATTTTGCTACTGAGAGTAAACCAAAGGATTTGGTTGCATTTAATAATTTAAACAGTGATAGAAACTGGTATTCAAGGTGCTTAAATAGTTTGTGTAAATAAACAGTAGAGCACATAAGTTCCACCTTCTGGTAACTGATGTACTTCTTGAAGTGTTAACTTTTGATCACAACAAAAAAATCTGGCAGTGCAAACTTGTCAGATTTGAGTAGCTGACCTAGTCACAAAATTTGAGCTCCATCTACTGGTCACTGGGGAATAAAGCCAAAACAGTTCAGAAAGCCTATTATTTCCTTGCCAGGCTAAAAAATAAAGTTTCTACAATGCTCCTTCAGTGACAGTACCTGTTTCATTGTCTCTAAACATAACATCGCTTAATAATATTCAAGTACTCATATAGCAACCAGAAGTACAACTCCCAAGCCCAGAATTAAACAGTAAGTTAATTTGTCTTATTCCACGACGTTCATTCATCAAAACCCACAAACCAGCATGCGTTTCATAAAGTCATTTTGGACAAAAATGACTCTTTTTCAAGTTTGCATCTGAGAACCCAAACCCCCAGTCTTGCCATACCTGAACAAGCTCATTTAAGACCACTGCATCGAAGCCAGAGAGATACTGCACGTAGTATCTCTGCATCACGGGCCCGTACTTCCGCACGTGTGCTCTGAGCTCCTCCATGTAGAATATTAGCTCGGCTATGTGCCTAGGCAAAATGACGAGGAAAAGCTTACAAATACGAAACACTCAAAATATTAAAACCAATTTGTATCAGTGGAATGCTTCTCAAGAGGATTTCCTACTATACCTTGCTTTTAAAACTATTATTAATAGGTAATTTCTGCCTGAAACTATTTGTTCACTTTGTAAAATGGGATTACATCGGTAATTTTCTCTGCAAGGTAAAATCCACTCAACAGGAGATAAGCTAGCAGGATACCATCACAGTAATCCTTAAAGGTTTGTATAAATACTTTTTTTTTTTTGATAAGAAGCCCCCCTATAATGCTCAATTTCAAAAAAATGTTTTTCTCAGTGATAAAATCTGAAAAAACACAATTGTAGTAATTGCTTTTCTGTAATTTTTTAAAACCTTGAGGAGGGTTAAATACTTGCACAGGTTGTTTCAGAAGGGCTCTGGGACTTCCATCCCTCCCTAGCACCTAAATCCAGTGCAGAAAACCCAAGGTTTTGCTACTCCAACTGTATCAATAGCCTCAAGCCCATCACTTGTTTGAGCTCCTGCAGTCCACACACAGACCTTCCGTTCAATCTTGTGTTCAATAATCTTGAGAAGAACTCAAAGACAACTAGTGGCCTTCTGCCCACCCACATTCCTAAAATCTCATAATCCCATTTCTCATTTTTACCTCCTGTTTATGACACTAATGCTGTATTACATAAATAAAACTCATCTGATATAAGACAGTTTTGCTACAACACAGGAGACATTCTGCAAATCAACAAACCAAGCTCTTTGATAGTTTCCTCCTCCCACCATTGCTTTGTTCAATGCAGCATTAGTAACACTGAAGACATGATAAAGCTTTTTTTTGCTTATTCAAAATAAAAAAGCATAAAACTTTTAGAAAATATTTTTATTTCATAAATAAATTTTCTGCAGAAAATGAATTTTCACTGATGTGCACCAGTGTCTAATACAATACTTCCCGTTTTCTGTTTTGAGGGGAAGTTCAATAGTCCTCGGTCAAGACTTTCTGAACAGTCCCAAATCTTCCACATTCCTCTACTGAGATTCCCTTGCCTTCAAATGCATTTTGGCTGTGAAATTCTCATAAATATTTATAGTGTCACACTAAAAATTAACATACTTATCTATGAAATCATCTGCGCTCTTCTTTGGCATATTATCTGCATGACGAAGGAGCCAAATAATTTCATCACGAGCAAAGGATAATGCCATAAATACAAAAAGTGCCTGAAAAAAAAAATTGATCACAAACATATATATATACACACACACCAGCTGGACAGCTTGTGCACACTAAGAGGCAACTAGTGTCTAAAAACAAAGAACTTTAAACCCTAAGTAGGTTTTCTCAGAGTAAAGCGTGGTGTTTTTTCCCCCCTTCAAACAAACTAAATGTCACGGTGTTGCTGAGGAACACGCTGTAGGAGTGCATAAATGCAAAACACGAGAACAATAATTACCTTGGGACCCAAGAGGCCTGGCTGATCCGACAGGACAGTAGCCAGCTCTTTGAGTGCAGAACGTAGAAACTTGCGTCTCTCTCTGTGCATTGAACCGCTGCATCAAAAGAACAAACCAACACATCATCCACTGTGCCAACCACAGCATATTGGATTTTTCCAAACATTTAAGCCCAAGCATAGGAAGCTCATATCATAACAACTTCAAAAGTTCAGTATTTCAAAGACTGTGGTTCAATTAAAATTGGCATCCCCGTCACCAACACCGACCATATGCATCGTTCCGGAAACATGGTTAGATTTAAAAACCAAGTTCTCTGCCCCTGCTCTGCGATGTGAACTTGACTCCACTACAACATTTCTGTTTAGTTTGCATTCACAGTAAGTAATTAGACAAAAAGAAATTGGAGAACAAACTAAATGCTTCCATTGTGAAAATTTGAAAAATAACCTAAAACTCGAGAAGTTAAATTGATAATGGCATTAAGCAAGTCCAGACTTAAAAGAACAATCAGTACACGATCTCATCTGAAAATGTGCTATTAATTCTGCTGTTTATACATTCTTTATAACTTTAAGAAAACCAACACTAAAATCTGTCAGGAAAACTTTGCAAGACACTTACGCATGTGAAACAGCAGCTTCCTTGCACTCTCTGATGTCATTAATACGCTTGTTGTAGCTGCAAATAAAAAACAATCCCATACGGTAAGAGGCATCAGTAGCAAAATCGAGCAGGAGCTGAGTGGGACTCGAGAGGAGCTGAAATGCCAGAACAAGCAGCATACAGCAAAAACCTCACGCAGGATTTGCTTCCCTGATGAGAGCTAAACACCAAAACCAGACACCCAAACCAAACCCACTCTCTACTGAAGAGAGTATTTGCTGGTAGAGGTCTCAACTTTGTTTCTGTCTGAGGTTTCATATGATATATTGCAGAAACAGCGGCAGATGGATACAATTTTTCAAGCAAACTCTACATTCATGACATCGTTTCTCTTCACTAGATTAAGATTTGTGGGCAAGATCATTAATTTCAACTTTTGCCATTTTAGAGAGTGACTCACCAGACTTTTTCAGAATCGAGATTAAAAAAGGCATGATGGTTATGAAATCAGGCATCTGAAAGTTACGCATTAAAGAAACAACCAAGATACCAAGCAAAAATGTCCGTGCACTGACTATCCTTAAGCAAAACTTACACGAAGTTGAAGTAACATTTTCAAAACTGTTCTTCCAGAAATTATACATTTTTAGAGGTTCTGAAAGGATAAAGAGAAAAAAAACTGACCCTCTTATGTTTACAAACAAGTCTTCTGCAGCTTTGTGAATATGGAATACTTCATCTCGAAACAGAGCCAAGCAAGAGCTGCTTTGAAGTGCAAGTTTCCAAAGGTTCAAAGCTGTAGCATCACTATTCAGGATTCCATGGCACAAAATAAATCCAACTTCAAAAGTTCACATTGATGTATGTCACCAACCAGATGCACAAAGACAGGAAGAGAACAGTGAGATTATTATGCATTTTCTCTTAAATAGTTCATTAATAGACTGTTAAATGGATAACATTGTTTTACATATAAAAAATACCCCACGCTGTTCTAGTGGAGGTATTTTTGCAACACCTTTTTAAAATGAATTACTTAATGCTGACACCACTCAGCTATTTCCATCGGAATTACTGAAGCCCTCACTTCTAGTCAAAGCCTGGAATAAATTGATGACATTCTACTCCAGCAGCATATGCTCAATTCGAACTTCACTGCATATAAAATTATGATACATACAGATGAGATTTAATCAAGTTCTCTAAAATCTAATTTGAATACAACTTTTGTACCATACAGAAAAACAAGTAGTCTTTTAAATGTTAACTATTTTTTTTAATACAAACATGAGCTGTTTCAGAATATTTTACTCACAAATGATCCATTTTTCCATTGCATCCAGAGAGAGGTATTCACATGGCATCTGTTGAAAAAACAGTAATCTATAGCAAACTGATTATATAAAAGACGATACATTTAATGAGAAGTACTTTTTAGAAAAATATGGGCCAAATAAAGCCTTGAATGCTGATGAATCATGCAAGACTGCTGCTGATTACTAACAGGGCATTGTTTCATCCCTGTAGAAACTGAGGGTTTCGACATTAAACGAGCTTCCATATCCTCCAACATAGGATACAGACATTTATTTAAGGATATGGACAATTTAAACATTAAGAATATTTAAGAACAAAAGGCTTTTGATGTCTGCCAATCACGACTTGAGAGCTGTTAATGCTTGCACTTTTTCAGGAAGATGACCATTCCTATCACAACTGAGGCAGCAAATGCAAACAGTAAAAACTGTAAAGGACGTATCCGTCCTGATTTTCAGTCTGTTGGCCCACAGATATTGGAGAAAGTACATAGAATTCCTTCCTTCTGCACTGCAGAAGTTAACGTTTCCTCCCTTCATCTTTTGATTATCAAATACTGGAAACGAAGGCATGAGCTAACGCAACAGAAGCTTTAATTAATGCGAGAAAAGTTTTCCCCGAGCACTCAGCCCTCCCAACCAGCCTATTTACTTCTCGGATTAAAAGCCACATAAAGGCAGTCACGCAGCAAATGGAACACCCCACAGTATTTTACGGAAAAGCTTGCTGAACTTTGTCACATAAGGCAACTTAAGAGGCCGTACTGTGTCAGACTGTGCAGGATTCAGCATTGTACTGGGGGCACTGATGAGGCTCAGTAGTTGTGCGTTTCTCCACTGGTCAGCCGAGAGATTTCTTCGAGGATAGACCATCTGGAGTGAAATCAGAGCATCTGAAAGGGACTAAAAAGGAGACCAATGATCAGTCGGAAGATGTCCTCAAGGCTCAGTCTTGGATAAATATCCAAGTTCTTTACCTCATCTCGAGACACTGCATTGACACTGCCATACTCGAAGCACAAGAGACACTAAGTACTGTTTTATCAGCAGTGCTGTTTCCTCAGCATTATTGCTAATGATAATCAAAACATTTTACAGAACTAGTCATGAAATTAAACTTGAGGGTAAAACCCACTGCATCTAGTTTACTTCACATATAAAAGTCTATTCCAGGCTAAGGGAAGGATGAAGAGAAGCAGGAGGATTTTATCTATCTTTCTTTTGACATTACAGTTTAAAAATTCTGAGTTCAGAATTAGAGGACATGAAAAAAATCAGTAGAGGACAACAAATGTGTCACGTACAGCTGAAAGTTGTTCATTATTTATTCAAGCATCCCAATTATTGTGTTATTCTCTTCCCCGCCACTTCATTTAGCATGTCCTTCCCTCTTTGCTAGCAAATTATAATTATTTTGAGCAGATGCTGTCTACAGGAGCATCTTTATAGCAGATTAAGCTTATCTGAGTATGGTCCTACATTTTTGCCTTGTTTTTTACATCAATAATAGTGCTTGTATGAATCCCAGAGTGCCAAGTCTAAACATTCTGCCAGAAGAGAAGGTCATTCAGGAAAAAAAAAATTGTTGAAGCTAATTTCAAGGACTAAACAACTGTCAGGTTTACTGCAAAGTAGTGAGCTGATGGAAGGACAACTTCAGTGTGCAGTTCCATGAGTGTAACTTAAGTATGTGTTTCTATAGCACGGTGCCTGAAGGGATCCCTGACCCCAATTTATACCTCTAGCACAGAACAAGCAGAAGAGCAAAAATGGGACTGAAAAATGGCTTTCCAAAACATTTCAAGGGAAAGGATTGGTCCACTATTAAATACAAGAGCATGAAAAAAGGTGATACTGAAAAGTGAAGTATCTTTGCTAAAACATGCACAAGGAGAGATTAATTGCAAATGAGATCCTTAGCTAAATAAGCCTCAACAAGACAGGAATCATGCAGAGGAAAGTATAACAAAAATAAGATTACAGATTATTTAGATCACTGGAAAGTATTCAAAACTATTTCATTTCATAGCACTTAGAGAAGTAGCTGGGAAACTCTCTGAACTTCTAGTGACTATCTTAAAAAAATTAAGGAAATTAAGAAAAATCTCAAGAGGACTAGAGAAGTAAAACACAATCACAACCTAGACTTTAAAACAGGAAAAAAACAAACCCCAAACCTTAAATACTTTAGGCAGTAACTTAGTATTTAAGTTAAACTCCTGCCAAAGATTCCAAACTGAGTTGTCAGGCAATCAATTTGCAAGCACCTAGAAAGTAACACCTTTATAAATCACATTTGGCCAGTACCGATCAAACAAATCTGATTTCCTTTGACAGGGCAGCAGGCCTAGTGGATAAATGGGAAGTGATAAACAGGATCTACATTGACTTTCTTGAGGCTTCTGTCACTTTTCCAAGGTATTCTCATCTCAAAATACAGCAGCCTAGAGAAATCTTCCCAGAACTGCAGCACAACCAGCCGTGTAAGAATGTAAGCTTAAAAACATTTAAAGTACGGAAAGAGCTTAAGGAATTGGGTTCATTTAATGGAGCAAAGTCAACCGAGCGGGGTACACAATGTCAGCTTTTGAGGATGGAAGCTGTTATTATAGAGGCAGTGGTGATTTCCAGCATCCTCAGTTTAAGGACAATCCAAAGCAAAAACCCTCAGGTTGCAAAGTAGAAAACCACATTCATCTAGGATGGCAAACCAGAAAAACCCAGTTTCACAGCAGCATTAGGACGTTAATGTCAAGCTACAAACCAAAACAGAACACAGATGTAGCTATTCTCAGATGATCCACAACTGGTTTTTAAGAAATTTCTAATCCTTAGCCAATAAAACGGAACCTTACCAATAGGTCTTGGCATTCCTGTGTTTCCACAGGTTCTGTTATTTAATAGGATATCAATCCCCAGCCCCAGACATCTATTATACATAAAATCTCCTGTACAATTTATACCTAATGGCCTCTGACAAGACAAGCTCTTGCATATTTACTTTCTTATCCCTGCTTCTCTCAGTTAAGGTTACTGTGTGCCTGTGAAAAGTAGTTACATACTTTACTGTGAGGTACAAATTCCTCCATCATTTTCTTTAAAGGATTTTCATAATCCACAATCATCTGGCCAAGGCGTGGATATTCTCTGTCACTAAAAGCAATAACAAACAATTCACTCAGGTGCAGTTGTTACTATTACCATTACAACAACACACATTTCTTCCACCACAGCTTTTTACCTTGCTCCATGTGTCATTTCATGGGCATAGTTGTACAATCCAATGATAGCCTTCCTTTCTTCAATTCGAGACAGCAGGATCATTAGAGTTGTGTAGGTTATAATCAAATCTAGGTAGTTCTTCGTTAAATCGAAGTTTACAGTCTAGAGATAAAACACAGTAAATTATCGCTCTAAAATTTCCAGAAACAAGCAGAAAACTACTTCCTAAACTTTCCATCAATTTTCAGCATTTTTTAAGTACAATGGACTGTCTTAATCAAGGTTTTTGTTCTGGTCGCATGCAGACTTCAACTTATTCACCCAAACCTCCAGAACTGTTTGTATTCGTGAAAGCAAGTACACAAATAAATCTGTCCAGGCTCAAGCATCACAGCTTAGCTGACAGAAAGGAACTCTTGGTACTAAGCAGCCACCAAGTGCTTTGGCCCATAAATTGTATTTTAATAGGACTCTTGAGTGTAAAAAGCTAGCACGTATCCCACTGGCCTGGTAACATCATTCCATAGGATATGTACCTGCTCCTCTTTCACAGTATGAAACTGAGTCAGCCAAGATTTAGAATAATGACTAAAACTAGCCAAGTGACATTATGAACACTAGAAAAGAAAGCTGAAACCAAAAGGGAAAGGCGTTTGAGGTTTTTTGGTGTTTGGTGGGTTTTGTTGGTGGCGGTGTTGGTTTTTTGTTGTTGTTGTTTGTTGGTTGGTTTGGGGTTTTTTGTTTGTTTTCAATGTAACACTTAGCTGCTTTTGTACTTGCTTTAGCCAACACCAGAAGTGAACTCCTCACGTTTCTCTTGGTTGGACACCAGTAATATTCCTGTTTTGTGAGCGTACGTGGTGTAAGCGTGTAGGTGACACTTCTCAGAATAAACTTACATATACAATAAAGTAAAAATCACAGAAATATTTGCTTGTCTGGTAATGGACAACACTGTTACTACTGTCCATAAGTCGCCTGTTTAAAATGGTCCATCTTCTAATTTCAAGCTATTTATAAATATTAGAGATCTGAAGATTACTGTTTTTTATTTCTCTTGCGTTTATAATTAGAGATGTCAGGTTTCTTGTGCAAACATAAACGAATCCTTCTAATCCTCCACACAGGACTCTGATTAGAATCATTTTTAGGTGGCATTTGAAAGTTTAAACCCAGAAACTTACAATATCAAAGAAGACTTGGCAAACATCAATAGTGTTCAGCAGCTCACAAACATGGTCCTTGAAAAACAAAGGAATAATTTTAGTTTAAAAAGATGTAAGTAAATCACTTTACTCTGCTTAGTGATAGAGACTGATTTTTTTTTTTAAAGAATAGAGCTACAAGTTCAGCTATTTCACGAAACAGTGTAATTTCTTAAGTAAAAAGACAGCACCCTGATGTGACAGAACAACTGACACATTTGCAATACCTTACCTTAAATTCCATAACATCAACAAACGTGAAGTAGTATAACGCCAGGTTCTTCAGGATCTCAGATTTTTCCTTCTGGAGCTGAGCAAGCTGTTGCTAAAAGAGAAAGATAAACATGCACACTGTTCTTAGAAGATGTTGAGCAAACTGCTGACGAATAATGCCTGTGAAGTGCAGAGTAACCACCAGGCCACGCAAAGCAGCCTTCACATGGTTTTCTAAGCCTGCGTGTCTCAAACACACAGAGTTCTGAAACTGATCGTTTTAACAGCTGCCGACTATACTTGGAAGATAAAAGTCAAATTAGTACACATTAGTACCAAGGTCATATTGTTTAGCTCAGCTAGAGATGCAAATGGTAGTTAAGAAAACGGTGTTATCGTATGTCTAATTAGCAAAAGCAGAACAGTAGTGAGCACGAATCAGCATGACAAAAAAAACATGACGTTACTCCAGGTGGGAGAAAAGAAGGTGGCAGGTTACAAACTTTACTACAGAAAAACATTATGCTTTTAAATTCTGAACTTACCAAAAAGAATATCCAGGCAAAGCCACGTTAAGCATGCAAAATAAAATGTAGATACAAACATAAAATACAGTAACGGTTCTTTGACCAGTCCCATATAAACACAATAATACATTCAAACAAAAGCAACAAAATAAAGAAACAAAAAAGAAGCAAAACACTAGCATTAGACACTGGTGGATAAAATGGAAAAGGCAAACGTGAATACAAAGGTATAAAATAGTTCACATGGATTTTTTTTTAAAACACATAATGAAATATTATTTAATTACTGTGTTTTTCAAAGTTTTCTGGAGGAACCAATCAGACCACTTAATTACAATTAAGAACACACAAAAAAGCAGCGGTTACTTAACAGTCATTCTGTTTATCTATGTATGACAGTCTCACAGCACTGCAGGAATCCAATTACTTAACTGGGAATATCCAGCTCCTAATTAAGTCTCCTTCCTGATACATGAGTTGAGGTGAGTTAAAGCGGTCATAACACTCAATATGAAAAAGTGCCCTCCAAAAAGCTGCAGGATTTTAAATTGAAGACTGATCAAGTTAAATAGGATTTTCTTCTCAGCAAGAGCAATCAATTATAAGAAAGATTAAATGAATTGTTTCAAATCGATTATCTTATTTTCATGTCAGAGGTGAGAACTGAATACACTTCTTCATCTCCCACTCTTCATGAAGCTGTGCTCCAGGTTCTCAGTTTTATGGGAAGCACTAAAATTCCTCTAAGTACAAAAAATAGGCTGCCTGGACCACTACATCATATCTAAGGTAATTTTTGCTTCTTTCCTCTGAAGTTTTAGGGACGGATTTTTAGAAGAAATTATGATTTTCAGAAGTCTTAAGCCATAAGACCTCAATTATAGCCAAGGAAGACAGGGACACACAGAGTTACGAGCAAACTGGAATAGCTACATGATAAACCACTCCTGCCTACTCTTAAACCAGAGCAAAAGAATCTACTTGAAGGTCCAACTTTGAATGCCTGCACTACGTGACGTTTAAGCTTTTCACACAGCCATCGGCTGGGACTTGAATGCAAAATGGGTGCAAGCACATGCACTTATCCCATAACTTCTCCTGATCATCTCACGCACCAGGAAACAGGGTATTTCCATTTAGACTGCTGCAGTACAAAATCTGTTTTGAAATGCAAGTCCTGAGAGTTGTGTTTTGACCCTCAGCACGGATGTGCCACGAGCTTTCCCAGCGCACACCTTCAAGCCGAAAGGCGACGCATCCAGCATGACCGCGCGTGGAGCCCGGCGCTCCCGCCGGCCCGCGCAGCTCCGCAACACCTTCGGGCCAACCTGCGCCTACTGTCGGGAGCTCCCCAGAGGAAAGAGGGCTTTCTGCTTTCAGGGGTGCTCTGCCAGCCAACAGTTCTCACACGACGAAGGTTTGTCGCCTCAGATGCTTGGGTTTAACCTTCACTAGCTTAAACTAACGCAAGTGTGAACTGGATGAATCTGAGGAGTTGTTTCGGGATTTTTCAGGAACGCACCACATGCTATTGTTCAGAAATAAGGATAATTCTAGTGCAGAAAGGCAAGGAAACCAAAACTTGCATTACAACTGCACATACGCTTTACTGCAACCCTAACTCAGGCTCAACAAGGTGCAACGCTAAGGGAGACTAGCAAGATTACAGCTTGTTGTAGACACCACCTACGTTTGGTATAACAAATAGCAACCCAGCACCCACTTCCAGAGGACAGAATTTCAAAGCCACAACCCTTCTGGGCCACAACACGTGAAGTGGGGAGATACTGCAAAAAGGGAGACAGTGCTGGGAACTACGCTTGCAAAAGAAATAAATCTTTTTTCAGAAACTCTGCAAAGCTGTACATTAAATAAGAGAATACAAGGAGGTGTTCATCACACTCAACCAAGGAATCACTGCTATTAGCTCGCTACTTGTATTCCAAGAAACATCTCTACTTAAGTGATGCTAAAATTTTGGTACATACTTAAGGTGATCATTCTTTGAACTCTGAGTGTTGAAGGTGTCAGCAAACTTTTATTTAAAACATTAATATCAAAGTAAAACAATGCATGAACTGTAATCACTGTCAAACCATTATGGTGCAAACACCTCAACTCATCCAGCACAGCCTGATCAGTTAAAGTGCAGCTTACAGCAAGTAGGGTCTTGGATGTTTATTTGCATTTTTATCACTCAGGAATGTGGGTGTAGCTCTTTCCACACCCACTGCAACAAAACTTTCCATTACTAATTTCCTAACAGCTGTTTAGAAATAGCTAGTGCTATATCATTTTGTATTTGGTTTGAGGCTTTTTTCCTTAGCCTGCGATTCCATCTATCAGCAAACATTTCTGCTTCCAATATTCAACAAAAGTTTTAAAATAGGATAAGCTGAAGAAATAACTCCTAAAACATTACTAACATCAAAAAAATTATTTTCACTATAACTAACCATGCCTTGTTGACTGGTTAGACATAAGTGTCTTATTTATTCTTAAAGAATTTGAAGTACAAATTATACCAACAAGGACAACAGTATTTTTGTTGAATGAGGTGTATTAAAGATATGTAAGAAGAAATTTTAGCATAATATAGCAAGATCAAAAAAAAATTGAAGTAATTTCTCCGAAAAAATTTATTTTGGCTATTAACAACAGCTATTATTTGGCTATTAACAAAATACCACATCACCGATCATATTTCAGTATTATTTATAAACCAGGATTTTAAACACCAGAGAGTGAAGCTGACACTTTGTCAAGTACGTTATCTAAAAGAGAAGGAACTGATTTTTATCAAGTTGTCTTGTGCCTTTCCTTCTTCATATTAAACCCCACAAAATCTTTACCCAACTGACAATGGATACAGAGAAAGCACATTAAAAGAAGCGAAAAACAAACCAGAAAGTGCAAGACAGCCTCACTTAAAGCTTACATGAACCCAACGGCTCAGACACAAGACAGTAACGACACAGACACTGACATGTTACCAATGTGAATAAACACAAATTTAATGGGAGGGCACAGGAAAAATAGGAGACAACTAGAAAAGGCTGTTCAGAGAGTTTTATGTGTGGAAAACCAGAGGATAACTGTAGTTCTGTAATTACTTTATCATATTTATTTGACTGGTAGCAGCAGTATGTGAATAAACGTCATGATTCAGGAATAGGCAGTGGAATTTTCTCCTCCTTATATCAGTGTGATGCTTTCCTGTGAGTACGATCATTAAACACACATATTTGTTTTCTACAAACTGACACCATAGATATTACCATGTCCTCAGAGAAAACACCATCAACTTTAACTTACTAGCTGGAATCTAAGCCCCAAAAAGCAGTATTAGAAATTCTGAAAGTTAAAATCCTGGGGCTAGGGGCAAATAATCACTGTCAGTGCTCATACTGTCATTTATTGTCCTCACTATGCTTGCCACCTGTAGAGTCTTTAGATGAAGTTTTTAAAAACTCAACTTATCTGAACAAAGTTCTATGTCTAAAAAATCCATAGCAGAACAGTGGGGGGAGAAAGAGAAGGATCTAACCAAATGAAGAAAATGAGTTTTAAATTCTGTACGCTAACTGCAGAATGACGGACGTGTCCTTGGTTTTCTTATTTCCAATTAAAAGCAGCCTCTGAAGTGACATGCTGCATATAAAAAGATGTAATAGAATATTTAACGTGTTTACTAAAGAACGTATTTCTACCGCAAGATCTATTTTTATTTTGTTTTAAGTTTCTAGCACTAAGCTCACTCTCTTGAAAAGGAAACACCCTCCACCACTGCAACTGTCCCCAGGGCTGACCACACTAGTGGTGATGGCAAACAACTGCAGCAGTGAGGCTCCTCTTTACAAACAGATCTACCCGTCACTCCTGTGGGGCAGTTTTCCTGGTCTCTCACTTTCTTTTACATAAATTCATACAGTAATTCCTACATTAGGCTTATTACATATTATCACACCATACAAGCTTTGGCCACAGGTCTTGAGACCTCTGAGGCAACAATTTACAGAATAAAGTGTCGTCTGTGCTATTCTATAGATAAAAATGTTTCAGACACACGTCTCCAGCTGCCTGTATACTGACTTTTATGTCATGAAATCATGACAGAACTATTCATTTAAAGTGTAGGAACACTAATTTTGGAATACCATCTCAGTAATGCTGCGCAACTAAAACTAGTTAAGGTACTAATGATGCCTTTTTTGTTTCTTTGTGTTTTATTGGCCAAGCTCTTAAGTTGTCAGTCATGAAATCAAAAGAGGATTTCAGTTTTAAGGGATGAAGCAAACAGGTTAGGTACTACACACACTCACTCCTTTGCAAGTATTACACACACTATTAAGCAAGAAGATGGAGCACATGACTACTTTGGTTTACCTTGGCAAGTGACCCGTATGCACCAGTTTGACTCACAGCAGCATACTATAATGACTTATTATTTGGATGCTACTCCATCCCAAATTCATGCGTACTACAATGACTTATTATAATTAAAGTTGTATTTGGATGCTACTCCATCCCAAATTCATGCACAATCAAGGGTTAAGCCATGAATATAAACATCACTGCTGATTGT